ATATTAATATCACCAATTTCAAAGGAGGTGCTTTCCCATGACTATGACCAGATTGATTTAGTGGTCCTTTATTATTATTATTATTGATACAGCCTATTACTATGACCAGACTGATTTCGTGGTCTTTTATTGACACAGCTATGGTGGACCACTAGAGCTGTTCCTATGACCAGACTGATTTGGTGGGCCCTTTATTCAGCACAGCTATGTGGACTGCTAAAGCTGTTTTTTGAGTCATATATTAATATATACATGTGACAAGACTGAAAAGGGGGGTTTCTTTTGACAAGCTATCTAAGAGAGAAAAAAGGAAAGAAAAACCTATTCTACCTATCTATAGAAAGCACAAGACAGAGCTACTCATAATGAGTGCTACTACCCAGAACCAAGTAAATCCAGTCATCCTACAGAAATAAAATGATCATTAGTAAGGGGCCTCTATATATATACTAGTAAAACCCATGGTCAGGGAAAAAAACTAGTAGGGGGTCATTATCAGTTCTTTTTTCTTTGCTTTTCAGTTGTTCTTCCTGCAGCAGGGGAGGGTGGAGAGTGGGTCCAACCAGGGGTGGGGGGTCCAACTTCGTTCCAAGAACCTGTGGAGCTCAGAGGGAGAGGAGAAGATGGGTTCCCCACTCTCATCATACTTGAGCTCATCTTCCTCATCTGCAGGGGGTGGAGGGGGTCCATACACAGGGGCAGTTGTGTACACTGTACTGCCCCCTTCAGTGTGAGTGATGCTGCCTGGGAAAGGCTGTGTCAACACAAGTGGGGAGGTGATGGTGGGGGTTTTGGTGAGGGGTGGGGGTGTTGTTTGTGTTGGGGGGTACTAATAGTAATTTGCTGTGCAGAGAAGTTGCATGCTTAAGAGGTTCCAATCAGAGTATTCTAAATGACTGTCTCATTCTACATGCCAGGTGGAGCTTTTGTGAGCATAGATGTAAAAAAATTGTTATGAAGCACAAAAAGAATCACATCCTTATTGCATTGATTGTCAACTTATGGTGTTAGGTCTATGATCTCATTATATATTATATGCCAGTTCATTGCTCATGTCTTCATGATATCTTTGGAAACTTTGTAGTAAGTTTGTCATGCTCAGGGAGCATTGTTGAGCTTCACTTAAAAGGTTTTTTATTCTGCCCTCATTCTAACAGAATTTCGTTTAGAGTATTAGTAGTTGACATCACAATTACCTTTCAATTTACAAATGTTTACCTCATTATCTTGTTCTTGGGGAAGACCATGAGCTTGCAAAGAGGATCCAGCATTCTCCTCTTTCTTATGCTCACTTTCTGTATCAATTGTATTCTTGCTGTCACTCTGAAATAAGGATCAAATAATATTTAGATGATTAGATGTTGATATAATAATAAAAGGAAAACTTTTCATCATGCTTACCAAAGAATCATGTTCTGTGGTTTCCTCCTCAGGGACATTATCTGTGTGTTTTGTTGACTTATTATTATTATTGACATTGTCCACAAAATTCATTCCTTTATGCTTTCTTAGATCATAATGACTTTGGTCAGTTATTGATGCCATTTTGTCTTTAGTATTATAACTAGGCCAAGTTTCTTTGTTGATTCAGTTTAGTCACATTAATGTACTAGCTGTCTAAATATAAAAGCAGCTTTAGCAGTTGTCTGTAGTTGTCAATAAAGATCCTACAAAGTAAAAGATGAAATCTCAGAGAAAAATATGTCATCCTTAGTATTAGAACTATCCACAAACTTAACATGATAATGATGAGAAATCACTGAAGGCAGTCACATAGTAATAGTGGCAATGGCTCTTGTTATCATTATATTATATATGAATGATGCTACAACAATTACCCAATCCATTCATTGATTGGTCCATTTGTGAAATGTAAGTTTTTCTGCACTCTAGGCGTGGGTCTTAAAGAGATCGTAAAATGGTCGGCAGAAAAAATTTCTCCAACTACCCATGGGATCGTACCTAAAAAAGGAAGGCACTAAGGGCTTTTGTTTATTTATTTATTTATTTATTTATTATGAGCGGATAACAATTTATTGTAATAATAACTAATAAATGACATTAAAAATAAGAACGGTAACAGTAAACAGTAACAAACTATAGTCATACAGTTACTCTAAATATCTTGTATTTGTAGTATGATCCTTCCATGTTCGAGGATTAGTTAAGCGATTTCTATACGCTTTATGTCATTGACAAATATCTGAACTTTCTGCGCTACTGCTTTAAGAAATTTGACGTTTCTTCGTTCATGCTGTTCAATCATTATATCCCTTGCTTCCCTAAGACTTTCTTCAATCATATTATAAAGTTCATCATTATTACTATCCTCATCGTCGTCAACTAATTCCATAGCGTCATCATCCAGCAGATTTATAAAAGGATCTGTTTTTTTAGTTAATAAGTAACGATAAATATACGTGTTATATACAGTATATACAGTATATACACAGATCAACCCCGTTAATCCGAAACCCGTTTAACCGAAGGACTAAGTAAAACCTCGCTAAACCGAAAGTAAGTTCTAAAACATCTATATTAAATTTACCCCCGATAAACCGAATTTACTAATTGAACCCCGTTAAACCGAAATTTCTTGGCATTTTCCACGTATTACTATGTCCTCGGTTTAACGGGGTTCACTATGTACATAGGCAGACTCGATAAGTCGGTCTGAGATGGCTGGCTCGATGGACCGACTTATCAAGAGCGAAATTCACTTTATAGTAAAGGAGGTTGACCGACTTACAGCTTATCGCGACTTTTCATATGTTGACCGGAGATTTTAAATATTGAAAAAAGGGCTTAATATTTGTGACCGAGTTAGGCAAAAACCGACTTATCGAGGGACCGACTTATCGAGTCTGCCTATGTATATACACAGTGAAACTCGATAAGTCGGACACGACGGGCTGGGCATGGCTGTCCGACTTATCGAGGAATCCGACTTATCGAGAGGCCAATAGGATTCATTGTAACCCGATTTCCTTTTATTATTATGTTATAAGATGTATTCGGATAATTTACTTATTAATACTGGATGTTCTTTCTGTGTTCATGATAATTGCTTTTAACTTTGATCTTTATTAAAAATTTTTAAGGTTGGGAAATCGACCTTTTTATACAAATATTATTAATGCGTTGTTTCGCAATACCAATAATCGTAAAATCATTTGTTTACATTACAAGAATGTCTTTTCTAAATCGCAAAATGAGTACAAATTATCAAATTA